ACATCAAAGGACTTCAAGTAGAGATTCTTAATCTATTGGCTAGTGGAACAAATATTTCCAAAATTTAATCAGAACAACCTTGCATTATCAGAACAACCTTGCATCCCATCTCACCAGGACAACGGAATGTAGCTTCATTGACTGCTTGATGTTCTATAGCAAACATTGTCACGCCACTATTAACTCCAAAATGTACCTGAAATAAAGTAGTAGAGCGAGGGAAAAAACTTAGCATGTCATTGTAGAAAACACAATAAGTTGTCATTAACTTCAAATTAGACATGACTTTGAGTTCCGAGTTACAGAAAAATATATATTTTAAAGCTGAGAATTATGAAGGATGAGTATCACAACTTTCTCTCAAATAGACAAAAGAACTTCCCAATGCCACCTACAGAAGAAATTCTCCGAACTTAAAAATCATTTAGCTGCGAGTGAACAATAATAACCTTTCCTTTGTATAATTAATAATAGATTTTCAACCAGAATTCACCCCATTTTCCTATAAATGAGGCTAAAGGGAGGGACAAAATGAGCAACTGACCCAAATAACTCTCCCAGAATTCGTCACAGTTCCATCCTTAATCACAGAAGATTGCAATGTTTGGTATACGGGTACAAGAGCGCCTTGTCCCGCAGTTTCAAGAATTGTGCAACTACCAAGGATTAGCCCTTTTGGAAATCTCCCTTACTTCATGTAATCTTGAAGATTATTAACAATTGTCTCAGGTGGATTTTCCGCGACTCCATGAATTTTTTAAAATCTTGTCACATGGATTGCTACTGGCGAAGCAGGCCCTTCATACCCCATCTATCGACAATCAAACGATCTAATGAAGTCAAAACATGAAATGTACCAAATTTATTTAAATGCCTGCACAAAAAAAAAAGTCAAAGAGACACTAGACTTTTTTCACATAGAACTAACAACATAAAGTAGGAAGTAAAGCCCCTATATATCTACCCTAGAACTTTGTCATCAATGCCAGTGCAAGAACAATATCTAACTATTTATTCCATGATTAGAAATTTAAAATAGAGGTCCATACCCTCATATTCACGTCAACAATCTTTCTACACGAACGAAAGATTTCATGACATGCCCTCCAAATCATGCTAACAGAATCAGAAAAATTATACTTGATGAAATTGAAGAGCAATAAAGGAGAAACCCATTACTGTCAAACCTTGATCAAATCAAATTCAAACCCACAATTTTGATTACTTTAAAAATGCTATTTATGAAATGCTAAAACAGTCCAACAAAATGCTATTTGAGTCTATTTTGATTTCCCTAGTTTCATTTGGATGTCCATATAGACACAAATTCTCCTTCTCTATAAAATCAGTAAATCTAACATGTCATCTGGATATAAATATGAATTTCAAACAGGAACTGCATAGTATTCTCACAACTCAGGAGTGAGTTCAGCAAAATCCACCAAGTAGAAAAAGGAATGATCATTGAGAGATAGTAAGCAGGTATAATATAAAAAGAATTAGCTCTTTCCTGCAACTCTATGATGAGTTTCAGATCTGATCCTACAAAACTAAGAGAAACCATGTTATAAAAACAAGAGTAAAGAAAGAAAAATTCTAGTTATTAGACAAAATATGATCAAACACTTGGTAGAACCAAAAACATATTGATGAAATAAGGCATAGAAATCACTCACGGATTTTAAATGTATTTTTTGAAGAGTTCAGTCTCAAAGACAGAGACTTCATCTGCTCGTGCAAATTATCAAGAGAACTGATGTTGTAGAGAATTATCTTCGAAAAATGCCTTATCCTTTTTAGCTGAGAATTTAGAACTATACTCAGTATAACTTCAAGCGTGAAAGTGACAAATGATTAAAATGCCTTTATCTATTTGAATAGTTAGGAAAGGCAAAGACTACCAACTGTCTTCTTTCATATTTCCCAGTAACCAAAAAGCAGCTAATTTGACCTTTAAACTAACCATTCATCATTTTAAAAAAATAAAAATTAACTTAAAAATTAAATTACTAGTTTTATTTAAGTGATGAAAATATCCATTACGCAATTAGTCCAAGCCAGAAGCTCAAAAGTTTGATGTAATGAACAATTACTTCAAACTATATTTCACAAAAAAGTAAAATAACAAAATTGAAAAAAAAAATTACCAGGATCGCATAGCCCATAAAATTCATCCACATCTGTAAAAACACCCTCCCACACTCAGATATATATAAACTAATTACCTATAGGGACACTTTTTTTGTGAGCGTATGTATTATGTAAGCAATACAGATTTGTGCCTTTGAGTNAATTCATCCACATCTGTAAAAACACAATCCCACACTCAGATATATATGAACTAATTGCTAAACTAATTGCCTGTAGGAACACATATTTTTATGAGCGTATGTATTATATAAGTAATACTGATTTATAACTTGTGAGTACGAAAATATATAGAATAAAAGGGGGTACCATCGGTTGAAGCACGAACGATTCCGACACGACGAGCTATAATCTTTGAAGATCTCCTTTACAGTTCGAAGATTTGAATAAAATGAAGCCATTTATGTATCCAAAATTATGAGATCTACAATTTATTGAGTAATTAATGATAATTTACCTACGAAGATTCAAAGAACGCCGCCTGGAGTGTAGGAGAGCAGAGGCACGATTGTGTGAGATGAGGTGAGGCTAAGGGTGGTTGTGTGGTTGGTGGGCGTGGGGCTGTTGGTGGTTTTGTTCGGTGGACGTGGTGCAGGAAGGTAGAGGTGGTGGGTTCGAGAGGAATGAATAGAGACGGGGGTTGGAGAGGAATGGAGGGAGATGTGAATAAATATAGGGATTGGGTTAATTTGGGTTCCATATATTTAAAAAAAAAAAAGTTTTTGCAACGTTTATCAAACGTGACCTTTCGCAACGTTTGGTGAACGTTGCGAAAAGTCTTACCTTCCACAACACTCAATAAACGTTGCTAAAGATGTCTACTACAACATTTTTCTAAGAAACGTTGTCAAAACTCATTTATTAATACCAATAGCAACATTCACTAGCTAAAATGTTGCCAAAAGACCCTT